ACTTTTTTTTTTTCTATGATTTTCCCTTTATTTACTGCAGACTTTTCACTGATACCTGAGTCATAGATGTTCCTCTCCACGTATATTTCTGCTGTCTTAAGTGCCTGCCAGTAAAGGGCAGTGCAAGAGGAGTTAGGTGAAGAAGGTGCAGGAGTATTGCAGTTGCTCTAACACTTTGTCTATTTTGAGTTTTTTGGGTGAGAGAAACAGATGAAGATAATTTCCTCTCATTCCCTGTTTCATATTAGTAAATCACAAAGAATTTTTAGGTACAGACATCGAAGAGGAATCATATGTATGCAAGGGAAAATTCCTTCCTTAGACTTTTGTCAATGTGTGAGTCAGATTCGAATAAAAGATGCAAGAAGTTTCTGCTCTCAATTAGAGGTTTTATTCTGATGGCAAATGAAAATTTAAGTCCAGTAGAATTAGGTGTGAAATCTTACAGATTCCAAGCCAAGTGTACATCATGATTCCACTTGGCAGCTAATAGGAAAAATTGCTTTTATTGGAACCTACTTTCCATTTTCGGTAAACTTCTGGAATTGAGGTTCTGCATGAAATGACAGCAAACTGCCATGATTATATTCTTAATCTATTTTTAGTGCTCATTTCCTTCCCGTAATGAAAAGAAGGGTGACACACCAACCTTCATAACTTTTTACTGAAAAAAAGAATAGTGCCTTTTCATACCTAACAGATGGGATGAAATGACAAAGATATTCCTGAAAGTATATACTTGTTTCTTAGCGAAAAATCCTGTGCTGTCAAAGAATTAAAACATTTTTAATTGTTTGTCCTAAAATCAGCCTGCTCATTTTTCTTTGTAACTACAGTAATGTGGAATCATCTCTGAGGCTTCCAACTCTGCTACACAGACAGATGTTTGAATGATCTCCTTCTGCTCAGTATCAGCTGTTCAGCAGAGTTTGCCTCCAAAATAAAGGACCAGTTGCCTCCTAATTATGATCGCCTTTTCAGAAATGATGCAGGGATTTGTTTCACAACAACAGCGGTTTTTTTTCCTGAGGACAAGTCAGAAAGCTTCTGCCAAACATAGATGTAGATCACCATCCGCAGAACTTGCTGTGGTTCTTCAGTCTTAAACTTTACTTACAAGCCAATTACACAGCCAGTCTTATTTCTACTAATGTGTGATGGAAATCAACACCCTGTTTCTTGTGGATTCTGCATCTCCCCCTTTCAGAAAGGAGGGATTTATTTATTTATTTGTTTGTTTATTGTTTAAGAGCAGTAAATTTGACCATGGAGAAAAAATGTAGTCTTGTGGTCTATTCTGCTGTGGGCACAGAGTGAGGCAGTGTATGTGATTCAGTTTTCAAGGATAAATAATCTTGAAGTCTACACCATCGTATCTCTTTACTCAGAAGTCGGTGTCCTTGGGTATGGGTGTGAAGAGGACCTAGAGAACTGAATTGCAGAACTCCCAGAACAGGCGAGGATATAGTGTCAGAATGCTTTGTAGAAGTGTCATGTAATTTTCTCTAAATTTGCTTCACCTTGAGTCCCCCTGATCACAACAGCAAGTTATCCTGCTGCTTTCCTTCCCTTTGGTTCCTGTGCTACCACTGTAGGAAATGTTCTTTTTCTCCAGAATCTAAAAGTTCTCTGAGAGGTGAACTGAAAAGCAAGAAATAAAAATGAAACTTGACTTCACATATTAGGGCCTTGACCGGGGAAGGGAGCAAGAGAAGAACGTTCCCTATAAATGAACTCCCAGCTTAACAAAACCGTAAAAACCCCATAAAAGATTAAGTATTGAAAATAATAGCAGTCCAAAAATATGGTAACAAAACACAGTAAATCATGTTTGGAGGGAACCTGTTTCATTTTCATGAATTAGGATGACCTCTGCATACTTCACCAAAGTTCTTATTTTACCACTCTTGAGCTCATAAAAGAGGGTATATTTCATCCCAGGGGTAATGTTAAGATACTGTGAGTTAAGCCCAGAAATATGTGCTGAACATCCCCCATTACCAGACTGGGTGGAGCGTTGAGCACAGGACTAAGCCTTGAGTAACCCTTTCAGAACCTCCCTCTTCTCGTGGCCCTCTGTGTTGCTGCGGCTGATCCAGGAGTTTGTCCTGTGATGAGGTGACAGCTACTCAGCAGCCAAGCTTGCTGGGCTCTCTAGGAGAGATCTTGATTCATAGCTGACAGTGCTTCTTATTTGTTCTGCAGTAATCAGCAGAGGCACTGTTATTTACACATAGCTCATGAAGGGAAGGATATTAACACAGAAACTGCAAGGCATTGGCCAGCATTGGGAGGGCAACTGTGTTATGTGGTAGCCCCTGATAAGTGGCACAAAATCTAAAGACTTCTACAACAGCAGGCAAGCCAAGAGCCATCTTTCCCCCACCTGCCACTTTTGAACATGCTATATATGCTTCTGCTCCCAGAGGCACTCCTAGATGGCCACTGCATCTGAAATGTTCAGGATATACACACTCAGATAGTAAGAAAAACAAAGTCCTCTCCCTCTCCTTGTCACCATTATAGCTGTGCTTGAACTGCACCACAGCTCTCCTCAATCTTCTTTTCAAGACAATAAATCTAGGTTCTTCATCCTTCCCTGGTAGGCCTTATGTTTTCTTATTCTGAAGATATGCTTTGTTCACATACAAGTCAAGCAAAGGACTTGAAAGGAAAGCCAAGCCTTCTGTCTGAATTCCTGTTGTTTCGTAGGAATCAGAGAACTGGTGTAGGAGATAATGCCTTCCCTTCTGGTAGGTTGTACAGCTCCGCCAACCTCCTCTGCCCAAAGCAAAGTACAGATGGGAAACTCCACACTCTGCACCTGGAGGTAAGGGTGTCTGGAGTTAGCTGCTCTGTTTCGTCAAGCAGGAAGATGCTGGCAACCCAGCTGCCATCTTAAAGACAAGGCTGCATGGCTGAGATAAACAGTAATGCAATGGCTTATAAACAATCAATGTTAGATGTTAGACGGTTAAGGGGGGGGGAAATGTAAAGCATATATCAAACAGTATCTCTTAGAGGTGATGCGTCTTTTGGAAGGGCATGGAGCAGAGCTTAGGCAGTGAGACACAGACAGCTCTGCAAAAGGGCTGCACTCAAGCACTCCTGCAGGAATTGTAAATCTGCCAGGGTGACAGCACAGAGTGCTTTTTTTTGTGTGCTATGCTTTGCTTAAGGAAAAATAACCATGCAGTGCTCCTGACAAACAGCGCTCACCACACCCCGCTATACTAAGAATGGAGGTGAATTCTGCAGCCTTAATGCAGATCCGTGTCCGTAACTATCACTGTGTAGCGCTTAGGAAGGGCAGGGAACTTGAGCTGCAGTGGCATGAGGCCGTCATCTCTGCCGGCAGGGCACATCGCCTGGCTCAGCGCGTACCTCGCGGGCGGGCTCCCGAAGAGGACAGAGTGGGCGCCGTCCCCGCTGCTGCCCAGCGCTCTGTCACAGCCGGGCGCTGCGCGGGGCTGGGGCCGCTCCCGTCAGCCCGCGGGGCCCACGCGCGGGCCGGGAGCATCGTCCCACGGCGGGAAAGGGGGCGGCAGCGCCAGGGGGCGCGCGGGGGCCGCGCGGAGCGGCGCGGAGTGGCGCGGAGCGGAGCTCCGTCAGACGAGAGCCGACCTCGGCGGGTGTGAGGGCGGCCCGGGGAAGCCGTGCCTCACCTCTCAGTGCCGCGGGCTGAGGCAGAGGCCTTGGGGGGTCCCGATCTCAGTTCGGTGACAGCGGGAGGCTCTGACCCGATTAGACGGCTTTTTTCTTTTTTTTTTTTTTTTTTTTTTTTTTTTTTTTTTTTTTTTTTTTTTTCCGAAAGAGGTGAGAGCTCGGACCTACTTAAAACAGTGCCCACCGAGGCCGGGTGGCGGCGGCGTACGGGGTAGAGGAAGGGACAGCTGTTTGTTAGGGTGCAGGAGAGGTGTCCCTGCCATCCCCTCGCCGCTCTTCTCCCCGCTCGGTCTGTGAGGTTTTAAAATCCGCCCGCATTTGAAAGCAAATGAGTAAAAGCTATGAAAACCTCAATACGGGACGGGGAAGCCTACAGCGCAGCGTCTGCCCATCTGCTCCTCGGGGTGCCGGGGAGACGCGGGATCCCGGCAGCGGGGACAGGTGCAGCGGCAGCGGGCGGATCGCGCGGAGAGTGCGGAACCCGCAGGGCCGATCGGCGGAGAAGCACAGAGCACCGTGGCCGCGGCGGAGCGGGAGGCTGCGGGCAGACAGCGCCAAACCCCCGGCCCGCCGCCCCCAGAGTATCCCTCGCGTTTTGTTTGTGTGTTTTCTACTTCATAATTAGTCTTTGGCGGAGGCGTTGTTGTTGCGTGAGGCTGGGGAAGCTTTTGCGAGGAATGCCCTTCTGCTCGCCCCTAGGTTTCTTGCTGTTGTTTCAGAAGCGCTGCTTGGATTTTGCAGCCCCGCTTGGTGCCGGCACTGGCAGCCGCAGAATCGCGGGACACCCGCGGGTCCGCACACATGGGGTACGCGGAGGGTACGTACGTGTGCGTGGCATCATCTGCTCGTGCACTGCCAAGGAGTTCACTTGCTTTAAATAAACCCGTCCGTCTGGACGTTACAGTAAAAAAAAGGTAAAAATCACAGTGACACAAAGAGAAAGCTCCCAACTTGAAGAACGATGGCACTGCTACGCTCTTGTGAGTTTTCCCTACCTGCCTGACAGGTGAATGTGCTACCAGTCTTTGAGGATCAGGAATAAGCAATAGGATACAGCATAAATACATCGGAGTTGGAGCCTAATATTTGCACGGGCTCCGTATAACCACATGAAAACGTGAAGTAAGAATGCATATTGAATTTACTGACGCGCATATGCAGGGAAAAAAAAAATACCCTTTCTCTTATTTCTCCATGCAGTTTAGGAGTGTTAGGCAGTGCTGAAATTAGGGCAACTGGAAAACAATGTTCATAACGGAGAGCAAAAACACAATAATGTTTAAAAAGACAGAAAGTTTAGTGGCACTGAAAACATCACAAACACCTTGCACATGTTGGATGCAGAGGGCATTTATTTGGACGGCTGTTCATTCGGTTTCTTCATAATAAACTTCATAATTAACTGCTTTGTTTATAGCAAAGTAGTTATTGCTTCTTGTCATACAATAATCACTGTCCGAACAGGAGTTTCCCCCCTTCTGTCATGTATAGTGATCTTGTTCTATTGCTGTCAATGCAATGATTTGGAGTTGTAAATACACGTTTTTCTTTTATTCTATACGCTCCTTGCATTTCAACTCCCTACACGAAGAAGTCTGGCTTGCACTTATTTTATTCATTTGTGTTTGTTTAGCCGCTGGTCTCTGTCCACGAAGGGCACTGTACGTGAGGATGCTGTCGGTCGCGAAGATCGCGGTAATTATTGGGCATTATTCCCTGCAGCACTTTTGCTAACATGTGCGGATATCCCTGCAAGTGGCAGGGGAACTTTCCAAATCTACATCTATGAAATTTAAAACTCCTGTTAGCATTTCGGCATCTCAAACCGTACCTTCGCGTACATCAAAACACGTATGTCATTGTAATGCCAAGGGTGCTGGTTTTCAAAGCCTGAATTACTGTAATTCAGTCTTTAGGAGGCATAATTTGAGAGAAGTGTTTGAGGTTTTTTTGTTTTTTTTTTTTTTTGTTTTTTTTTTTTTTTTCCTCTCTCTATCCCAACTACTTTGCATTGTTCCCTCAGCGGTTTTTTTGCACGTATATTGAGCTCGTTGTTGAGCTTTCAGCTCAAAATACAGAAACGTGTTTTTTTTTTTTTTTAAAGGCACAGCGGTAGCAGCAGTGTCGGTTGAAGTTCTCAGACAACGAGAGAAATATTTAAAAGCACTTTAACAATATTCAGAACTGCAGCTGGGGAGGGAGAGCAGGGATATTTAAATAACATTAAAATCGGACCATATTTTTGTACTGATCATGAGGTGCATATGGAGTTCCCAAAAATCTGCCCAGCAAGTGATGACAAAATATACTTGTCAAGGGGACAAGGAGGCATGGCACCATTTTAGTCGGTTCTGATTTAGTCTGATAGCTAGGCACAGCGCTATGGAGAACTCTGCACATAGTTACCGTAAGGGCAGCTCTTACAGAAGATTTACCAGCTTATTAATTTGGATCTGTCCCTGCAACGTTTTAGAAACGTTTCTTTCCTTAGGCAAATGTTCCTGTCTACCTTTGTGAAGAGTGATTTGCCAAGCGAAGGGAGCAATTTCCTATAGCAGGTAGTTTGACAAGGAAAACCGACGGTCTTAAATATCAAAGTGCAGTCAAACCGCAATGAGATTCAAAGGAGGGAGTGTTGGTACATTTTGTTCCAGAGAACGAGCTATAAATAACTGCCCCCACCCATGTTGGAAGGGGGTTGATTTGCCCACTTGGAAGAGCCGGTAGGAAATAGAAATTAAATTATTAATGTAATCAAACAGAAAAATCTGCCCGACGACGCTGAGGCTAACAGGGTTTTGTTCTGAAGCGTCGGCGACGTGAACAAGCCTGAGTGCGGAGCCGAGGCTAAGAGCGGGACCTGATGCGCTGCTGGGAGCTTTAATTTAATTTTATACCTTCCTCAAGGCGCAAAGGAATGAGTTTGAACACGGTCATAATACGAGAGGTGCAATTCTGCGGCTCCCGCCGCTCTGCACAAGAAGCCAAACCTGAACGCCTCACATTTTCTGTCACCCCCCTCAAAAAAAAAAAAAACGCCTTCCACAGTTTCACTTTTTTTTTTGCTTACCTGCAGAACGGGCTCTCTAACGATGTCAGAATTACTTTGACATTTGTTTCTGAGATTAATGTCAATGTGGTGCACGTCAGCGAGGAAAATGCTTAACAATGCAACTACACAGTCCGTTTTGCTGAGAGATTTGGTGCCATTTTAGAGACTTCAACGTCCTCACTGCAGAAAAACCGAGCGTCTGTACTTCGGAAGAAAGGAACAGTAACAAGAAAAAAAAAAAAAAAAAAAGAGGGGGAAGAAAGCAAACTGACCCCGCTTTTAGTCCCCCAGACACCTTATCCGTGGGCAGGATTTCTCTTTCCCACAGCTGCATTCCCGGAGCTACCCCTTCCCTGTTCTCGAAGGGGGGTGCGGGTTTGCGGTGAGCTCGGACCGCTCGGCGCAGCACAGCGGCGGGGCGGCCGGCAGCCGCCGAGCGGTGCCGCTCTCAGCGCAGCGCAGAGCAGCGCAACCCCTCCGGCCGCCGAGCTGCCCCGGGCTGGCTCCGCGCGCCGCCCTGCCGCCCCCGGCCATTCCGACCGGCCCCGGCCCGCCGCCCAGCCCGGTGCTGCCGCCAGCGGCGGTGCGGCGGCTCGCGGTTCCAGCCGGGGCGGGCGGCGGCTCGGGTCGCGGCTCGGGGCGCGGTGCTGTCACCTGGCCCTGCGAGAGCCGCGTAGCCCCGACCCGCCCCGGGCGCGATCCCAAGGTCTCTCGCTTCGCGACCGCCAAGTGTCCCCGGCGGGACGGGGTGGCCGTGCCGAGCTCCCCGTGCCCCAAGAAGCTTCCCTCTCCCCGCCGAGCCAACCGGGGCCAGACTTTCTGCTGTTACCTCTCGTTCGTCCGCGGGAGAAGGGTCCCGCACGTTCCGCCGCCTACCCCAGCCTCCCTCCAGGTCCCGTACGAGGGACTCAGGCTCTTTTTCCCTTCTGTCCTCCTGCTCGTCTGCCCGCCCGCCTGCCTCCTTCTTATTTTCCCTGCCAGTGACTTCAGCCCAAGCCAAAGGAGGTACAAGGAAAAATACAGCCCTGGGCTCCAGCTCTATAAATACAGCTCAGAGCGAGAGCTCAAAAGTTTGGAAAGAGAGAAAGGAAGAAGGCAGCGTCCGGAGACAAAAGCTGGAGCGGCTCCGCGGGCGGGGAGCGCAGGGCCGAGGCACGGGGCTCTGGCACAGTACCGAGTTGTTGGCTCGTTTGGTGGGCGGGTGGCAGCGGGAGGGGGCTCTGCGCACGCAGTTTTGGTCTTAAATTGACACTAGTCCCTCACAAATGCCAGCCGATCGATCAGATCAGCTGTATTGATCGGATACTGTGAGCAGAAACTTTCCGAAAGTGCCTTAAGTGGCACTGGAGAAGGGCTCATGCTTGCTTTTGTTTGTGTTTTTTTTTTTTTGTCCTGCTAGTGGGTGAATCCTAGTGGACTCAACATTTCCTTGTTCTCTCCATGGGTTGTGTGTATCCACCATCAAAGGAGAGAAAAATAGGTCGCTAGCTCTTCAGCACAGCAGTGGCAGCACCCAGTCCATGTCACTGCCCTCAAAAGATCATGGATAATGCTAGAGGAGATACAGTCTGCTGCAAAAATGACACACAGTTGTCAGAGAGGAAATGGTCAACATACATCTCCTGTATCTTAACTATATATTTGTGCTCGCTGCTTTCTAGTCCGTCCTAAGCAAGCCATTGGTATCAGATGGCAGGTGTTGCTTTTTCCTAAAATGTTGTGTAGTACCCAATTATATCATGCACAGAATAACAGCAACAAGAGTGAAGGGAATGCGACGAAACAGAGAAAAGGATCCACTGATGAGGGTCCACAATCGGTGAGATGGAGGGAGGAAGCAAAGCTGGGGTTAGGAAATGAAGCTAGGAAGTGGAGAAAGTGACTTTCAGCCCGCAGTCTTTGAAAGCACAGACGGACAAGCCAAGCTGGTCTGTGGTGAGAGTGCCAAGTGGAAGCCGTGAGAAGCCGCAAGATGCAGTGCTGAAAAATGCTGCTGGCAGTGGCCTCCTGCTGAGCCCTCTGCCAGCCTCCACAGGCCCTCCACACTGGGAGAAGAGGGAGGAGGCCCTGGAGCACCATCTTTGGTGGCTGCTGAGAGGCAGAAACCAGGGGGTGGTGAAGGAATGAAGGCTGGGAGGCAAAGGAGGTGGAAGGAGTTAACGGAGTGAGAAGGAAACTGCAGCTCGGCACCGATACTTTGCAGGAGCTTCTGCCTGTCTTGTGTGCAGAGCACTAGTCAGGGGAAGGTGTTCATTCACTGAAGTGCTCTGCAGACTGCAGGCTTCAGTAAGGCTGACTGTGGGACCCTCCTGCACCTCACACAGTTTCAGGGAGCAGCTTTGTTGTGCGCAGCTGCCAAACAGGGCTGGGAGCTGCCACCCATCACCCTGCCTGTGCCACTGTGCCCTGGAAGAAAGGGCTGGGAGGTCACAGCACAGTGTGGGTCTCCTGGCAGGGGGCTGTGGAATCACCCCAGCTCCATCGGTGACAGACCTCTGGTAACTGCAGAGTTATTTCTAGAGGGAGGGCTGTGTCTGCCGCATGTGCCCAAGGCTGGGCCGCAGCTGCCAGTCCTGCAGGAGCAGCTCACAGCCAGGGCTGGCTCTATTTAAAGCCTCGGCTGCTACTGCAGGCTTCAGGCAGCAAGTGCCAATCCCTCAACTTGGCAGCATTATTTTTGGCCATGGCTCTCTCCCACAGCATAGGAAATACAATGAAATTAAAACAAATAGGAAAGAAAAAAAAAAAAAAAAGGGAAGGAAAAATAGAGGCAGTGCAAACACTCCCCATGGAGAAAAGAGAGGAGCCCAGAGATGCCACATCCACCCTGTCCCACCATTTTGTGTTTGCTTCTGCCTGCCTGCTGTGGCATGGCAGGTGTGTGGCGAGGAGCAGCAGCATGGCAACGTGGCTGCACACGGCTGCCCTGCAGCCTTCCTCACAGTCCCTCTGAGGACTGTCAATGTTCCTGTGTTCCTGTCTGGGTTGTGCCATGGGTACAGAGACGTCCCTAGGCCTGGTGGCTGCTGTCAGAGCTGGGTTGGGCCCAGACTTGGCTCCAGATTGGGTAGCACAGCTTCTATTGTGGCTGTGGCTGGCTAAGGAGTGACACTGGGCCTGTTGGTATGGCTGGGCTTCAGCCCTCAACGCCCTCTGCTCACCTCGGCCAGGGAGAGGAGCTAGGATATGGTGCAACTTTTCTGGTGCAGATGGAGCATGAGCTTTTCCCTGTGCTGCTGCCGTAGCTGGCCCTTAAAAATGTGAGAAATGACAGAAGACATTTCTACAGATCCCATTCCTAAACCAAAACTGTGAGAGCTGTAGACATGCTGCATATCAGAAAGGAAGAATGCTGTGCTTTCCCAGGCAACTTATCAGCCAAAATTTCATAGAAAACATGAAAGGATGTTCTGGGGACGGAAAATAAATACACAAGGAAAACAAGATCCTTGATGCACTGATAAAGGAGAGAAAAACACGTAACTTTATTATGGGAAACCGCTACTTACGTTTTTTCCTTTATCTGCCAACCTGCACTTCAACCTTTTTACAGCCAGCATGAATACATGCCTACGTGTAAAACACAGTCTTCTGAAATATGTGTAGCGTTTCTCTTAAGGGGGTGTAAGATCTTTTTGTTACCTTCTTTGTAAAGACTCACTCATTACTTTACTTCACACACTGGAGAGTCTCGTGGAGGCTCCTCCATGACCTTCACATGCCTTTCTGCTGCTTCAGCTCCTCCTGCTTCCAGCATGTTTTTCGTTCTTTGGCTCATAAGAACCAGAAGAACAACAGAGAGGGCTAATGGTTGAGGTGATGGGGAGGGGGCTGAGAAGATAGACATGGGATCTGCTGTGCTTTGTTTTTGCATTAGCAACCAGTATGACTCTTAACAAAGCTTGCATTTGCTCATCCCAATCTGCCAGGGCTGTTCTTGGCCAAGACTGACCTCCTGCTGCTGGCAGTTACATCCTCCTCTGACTTTCTCCACTTCCTCTCCTCAAGAGCTGAGTGCTGTCCTGTTCTGTCACTTTCTTGCAATAATGGATATTGTACTGCAAAATATATTACTTCATTAATCAGTTCAATTGGTTAACAGAAAGATTAATAGTCTTATTATCTTGAGTGCATGTATCTCTATATTCAGAGTATTCAAAGAACTACAGGCTATGATTAAGCAACAGAGAAGTCCCATTATAACCTTGTTTTCCATATCTTCAAGGCTTTCAGAAAATTTCGCCTTTGGAACTCAAATTTCCTGTTTCTAGTTAAAAACTCTTTAAATGTGAGGAAATCTTCCTGCAAGCACAAAACCCAGCCTTTTAGAGAACTCAGTATATATTTGAAGTACAAAGCAGGGCTTGTATTTTAGCTTAAACACTTTCAAATCTTTTTTTTTTTTTCTTTCTCTAAACTTAAATGTCCTTGAGAGCCAGGATTACTTGTCCAGCTGTGGTTATAGACAGGATATGGGCTGCATTTCAAAATGTGTTCTGAGAAGTTCACTTTTAGGAGTGGCTGCTGCTGAAGTCCAAAACCCTGATGTCAGGTAGCTCTGCAGTGTCATTCTGCATTCCCTGGGCCTCATTGTCCACTCCTTCCTACTTGTGGCTTTTTTTCTGTGCAGCAGAAATTACCTCAGGTCACTTGTGGCTTATACATATGTTCTGTCATGCAGCTCACTCCATTTTCCAGTGCTTGTCTCACCTTGAACATGCTGCTGAGGTTAACCAGCTCTTGACAGCACCAGGCTCATCAAAGCGTTTGGTTACCTCCTGATGTGATCATGGCTTGGAATGTAATTTTGGTAGGTGCAAGCAAAATCAGCACTGACAGTAAGGGACATTTAGAGAGGGAAAGCCTATGTTAATTCCAGAGTGTGCCATTACAAATGCAGCGAGGAGCTGCAATTACAACAAAATATGGCAACTGTACACCTCGCTGTGCACCTGTATAGTGGCGAGTACAGTAGGCTTGAAGGGTCTCTATCACTTCTTTAAAAACATACTTTCAATCTAAAGATTTGTTTAACCTTTTAAAGAAAATGGGATTATCAGTGTAGCCAGTGAATGCTCCTTTCAGCATTCACACCAGTACAGCATTTGCAGTGATGCTCTTAGAACATCCTCTCGAAGTCCAGACAGCAGACAACCACTTGTGTACATGGTAAAAATATCTACGCAAGGCTGAGGAATTTGTCTTCCTTGAGGCTGCCCATTCACAATCCCATATCCTGGGAGAGAAAGAGAAAATAAATGAGACAATCTCTGCGTTATAGATGAATAGAAGAAAAGGACTTGTAGTTGCATGAAGGACACATCAACTCTGAGCAGAAGTCGGGTGAACTTTTAATCCAATTAAGTGAGAAAGAACAATGACTACAAAAAAAGAAAAAGAAAGAAAGAAAGA